GGTTATGTAAGAGCATCCCCCCCGCGCACCGCCCGGCGGCCACCGAGCCGGGAGAGGAATGAGAAGGCGGCGGCAGGACGGGCCGGGAGCCCCTGGAAGCGCACGCAGCCTGTGCTGAACCATAGTCCTCAGCCCTTAGTGCTTTTTCCCAGACCGAGAGAGGGCTGCAGCACATTTTCATCCTCGGACACTGCACGACTGAGGAAGTGATCTCGCAAGCCGGTTTTATTTTCCCATGGAGAAGGGTGAGCAGAGGATTAAGGCATATGGGTGCCTCTGCTCCCACCCACTAGCCCACTGGCCACCATAGGTGCCTTAAGCCCTGAGCCAGTTCAGTGCAGGAGGCCTGCCATCTCTGGGGCTGCAGCCTGAGCCCTCTGCTTTCTCTTTCTTGGTGGCTAGCGCTGTTTCACCCCTGGGCTTTTTGTCCCACTCCATCAGGCCTCTCCTTTCCTCTCCTGGGCAGAGCACACCCAGCCCTCCACCCACCACAAATGGCCTTCGCTGTTACAACTTCCATTGCCAACTCCACTCCCACCTTTTACCCCCCAGAATGGTAGCCGGTTAAGGGAGACTCCAGAGGAAATGTGTGTTCCATGGTGCCCTCCAGTCTATAAAGGCCAGGGACCTGAGGCACACACGTGGCACCTGAGACCTTGGCACCATGGTTGGCATCTCCTACTTTCAGACCCTCTGGGGGCTCAGCCAACTCCCTACCTTTCTGCAGAAGCCAGATAGGGGTGACAGTGTTTATGTTCAGTGACTGTCAGCCTCCTTGTCGGTGATGTCAGGTCATCACCCAAAGAAGAAAGGAAGTGAAAGAAAAACTTCATGCCTTCTTGGAGTGCAGATGTTCAGAGTGAAAGAAACAACAAGACTTGAGGCAGATGGGAGCAAATAAGCAAAACCAAATGAACATGTCTCTGCAATGCAAGTATGGTGAGGTTTTATTTTCCTTTCTCCACAGTGCAGTGAAATCCTTCTGGAGGGAAAGTCAAATCACATCCTGATGACCATTTTCACCTTCACAGTCAGATCTCTCTCTTAAAACATTGAAGTTAGTAAGTAAAAAGAAAGTAAGGTCCTGAAAGAACCTACGATGAAAAATGAATAGTAATTTGATCGTTTTGTGGGAGAATAATGACTCTCAGCATCAGAAAGGCCAACTACACCTTTACTGCAGCACAAAGATCCAAGCTGGGTACTATGAAACTACTTTATGATGTTTCCCCCACGAGACTGGACATTTATATGGAAGAAAACACTGAATGAGGACAATGTTACTTTATGCATCTTTGTCTAGGATTTTGAAAAACTAAACTGATCTACATGTGGGGACTAATAATTAGTGCATGTGGTTAGAGCAAGTCCTCTCCAGGGCTTGCTTTGCATGTAGCTGGGCCTTTAGCAGTTCTCCTAGGCCTTTGCTTCCCCCACAAATTAAATATGCTATAGGGGTGGCACCAAGGGGTAACTTGGGGATCTCTAGCCCCATCCACTTCCCTGTTATATCCATCAGGTCTCCTCCATTATTTGATGTGGATGGTTTTCAATTTTATATAGAATACTACATGACCACAATTTCAGGACCTCCCTTCTACCACACTGCCCCACCAGGCCCCTCTACGTAGTTACTGCCTCTGGAAGTGGCTGGAGGGAGAGGCCATCAATGGGGCCATTTATGTAGACATTGGCCTGCTTCTCCCTGCTTTGCTTGATGGACCTCATCTACCACTGGCTCTTAAGGATGGATAAGTGACCCAGCCTCAGGCAGTTTGAATTTAGGTTTCCTATCACTTGCAACTAGGAAAGCCCTGATTAATACACCTAGCTCTGGCCAATGGGCTGATCAGAGATTGCCAAGTATCCCATGTTAGTCCAATAAGACTAGGAATTTTGTGGATCTACCAGGAATAGAAGCTGCCAGAAACTAGACCTGAAATTGCCAGAAGCTACCACAGGGAAGGAGTCTACTGAGAATGAAGCTAAGGGAGGGAAAGGCAGATCAAGTTCCGATAGCACTGCCTGAGTTCCTGAATCCTCCCATGCCTGACATTCTCCCTACCTCTGGAGTTTTTAGTTATAAGAATCAGTAAATTACATCTTACCTAAGGCTGCTTGAATTTAGGTTTCCTATTACTTGCAACTAGAGTAGGCCTGGTTAATACACTGGATTTTGCATCTCTGACTTATTTAGACAATTACTTCTTAAAGCTTTATAGACATTGATGAATCCCAAATTCTTTGCAAACAGGAAAATATGCACCGCCAAGACAAAATAATCAATTCCCCAGAGGTGTTCCTCCACTGTCAAAGGAGGAAATGACAGTTCTGACTAATCAACTAGTCTTTATACTAATTTATTGAAATTCTATTATGTGCCTGTGAGGTACACAAAGTTTAAGACATGATTTCTCACCTGTCCCCACCTCCCACCTAGTTAGGAAGAGACCTGAACAAATGAACAGCAAAACTAGAAGTAACTAAGGGCTAATACGTGACACAGACTATAAAAACTGCAGGAGTTTAGACAGGATTGCTGCACAGAGAAAAATCATATTCACTAATTGATCCATTCTCAGCTCAAACTGTACAGACTCAAAACTGCAAACTAGTAGTTGGCAGGCTGAATTTGGTTTTGTTGGTTCAACCTTAAATTCTTTTTTCTTTTCTTTTTTAACACATCAAAGATTTTACACAAAAATCTAAGTTTCTAACTTCTCTTGAAAACAGGCAACATGCCATAGTCAAGATAGGATAGATTATGCTGACATTGCAAATATCCTTAAAACTCAGTGGCTTAACACGAGAAAGGTTTATTTCTCACCCACACAAGATAGCTATGGATAGGTGATTGTCCAGGACAGCTGCCCTACAGGTGGTGGCTCAGTATTGTACCTCCATATCAACAAGTGTAGGGAAACAGAGAGCAGTAGAGAGGGCCAGGCACCAGCAGTTAAATGTTTCCTCCTGGAGTGACATATGTCATTTTAGCTTACATTTCATTGGCCAAAGCAAGTCACATGGCCATTCTTAATTTCAAAGAGGCAAAGACAGTCCTCTGGTATACACAGAGGAGAAGGAAACCATATATTAGTGAACACTCACTGTCTGCCACAGCACGCACTACCTAATGGCAACACTGGGCTGCAGCCCACTAGAAGCTGCTCCCTTGAGGTGGGAATTAACCCCCAGTTTGGCACATTCACCGCCCGGCCTGCCAGGTCATTTACATGGCCTGCCTAGCCCCTAGGGGCATTTGATTTTGCAGCTTCTGACACAGGAAAAAACAATCTCATTATCAGTCTTTCAGGTGTCCCTAGTGACCCATGGAGTTATCACAAATTTTGAAAAAAACATGTGTTTTGATTTGCTAATTTACAAATAATACCATAGAGAATTCTTAGGTGAAGGACAGGATGGTACCATAAAATCAAACAAGACGTTGGAACTAGCTGTTATATTTTCTGCAAATTACACAGACATGTCTACAGTGGTTTTTTGCCCTTTGTTCTTTCCTTGCTCAATCAAGCACCTACCAGGGGAGACCAGGAGAAACGAGCCTCTTGAAAAAAATCAAAGTCAGGAAACATGGGAAGAGAAGTTGCATGGTAGTGATTTGGGAATGGGTGGGGTGGGGGGC